ATTGCCCTACTGTTTCAGTTCTTAAACTTCAGTGTGCATCAGGGGCAGCTGGCAGGCTTGTTAAACCACACATTGGGGGGCTCCACCCCAGAGTTCTGATCTACTAGCTCTGAGTGGTACCTGAGATACTTTTTATTTTTACTTTTTTTGTTGTGCTGGGCATGGAACCCAGGGTCTTATCCATGTTAGGCGAACACTCCACCACCGAGACATTCCCCCACATCGCTGTGCTCAGATTCCTACTACTTCCCTTCTTACCGCATTATGAATTCCTTAAAGCATAACCTCAGCTTATTGTGATGTCGATAGAACTTTGGATCAGCTGGAATTTCAGCCAAGAACACTTGGGCTACCTCCAGGGGTCCCTGATGGAGAAAGCAGAACACAATAAGGATATTGGAATGAAAATGAAATTACTTGGGAGAGAGAGAATGTTGGAATGGCTCCTTAGTTTGAACATTTAATTTTGTAGTTGGCCTCACTAAAACAGAAAGCCTAGGGAAGTCTTGAATTTTTCGGGAAACTGATTCCTTAGGAGGACTCCAGGTTTTAGAATACTCACTGGTATAGATATATTTTCTCACACTACTGCTGTGGCTGGCTTTCCCTTTGTACAGAAAGGCCATACAACTCTACCAAAGGGGAAATGCCTTGAGTTGCTTCTCTAACGGGAGGATTGCCTCTATCCATCCAATCTCATTTGCCCTAGTGGTGAAAACCATTTTGGGTGAGTGCTGGTTTCAGCCAGAGAAATACATAGCACACAAGGGGGTCTATGACTGTGGTTGTGAATAGTTTTCCATTTTCTTCATCGGTTTGGGACTCACAAAAGCAAAAGCTTCCTAATACCTTTCTAATCTTGGACAAGCAATAGTCATTTGTCTGCTGTCTCTGCTCCCTTGATGGTAAGTGCACTCAGAACATCTACAGGGGATCCCAGATGGAGAAGGGGCTGAGTTGGGAGAGACCATGCTTGCTGAGTTTTTGAGTGTGTAGGTGTGGAGAAGAGTACATCTAGACAGATAGTAGTACAAGGCTTATACATTCCTCCACCTGGGACACTCTTAATTCCATGCTGAGCTAACATGTAATGGTTTTAACAGGTCTGAGAAGAGCCAGCCTTGTCAAAGTGATCCAAGAACCCAGCCCTAAGTCATTCCTGGCGGGCAAGGCCTGGGGCACATGCGGCATACTTGTTAACTGACTCAGGAGACAGATGGTGGAGGCCTTTTCTCTTCTTCCTCTACACAGTCTTAGATTAGTCTCAAGCCTGGCAACCAGCTCTTCCTATGCTGGGCATGAGTCATCTCTCTTCTACAAGACTCCAGTTCTAGGCCACAGTGCCATGTCTGGCCTCAATTGAAGACTATGACAAAATGGTACTCTGTAAACCGGGTCCACTTCTTTCTCTAATTTCTACGTTGGCTTATTAGATGAAGAGGCCTACTTAGATACTGTCTAAACCACTGCACAAATGCTGAGGCTAAGTTTAGGAATACTATATGGGAGTTGACCCCTCATTAGTCCCTAAGAAGAAGGGTGTAGACCTCTTAAAATAATAAGCTCAAGCCGGGCGTGGTGGCATACGCCTTTAATCCCAGCACTTGGGAGGCAGAGGCAGGCAGATCTCCGTGAGTTCAAGGCCAGCCTGGTCTACATAGTGAGTTCCAGGACAGCTGGGGCTACAGGAAGACCCTTTCTCAAAAAGACCCCCCAAAAAAGAAAAAACAACAAAAAAACTTTATTTCTTTTTATTTTATGTGTATGCATGTTTTCCCTGCATGTATATAAGTACACTAGGTGCATGCTTGGTGCCTGTGAAAGCCAGAAGAGGACGTAGAATCCCAATGACCTGGAACTGGAGTTTCTGATGGTTGTTAACCAACAAGTGGCTTCTGAGAACCAAACCCAGGACCTCTGAAAGAGCAGTAAGTGCTCTTAACCTCTGAGCCATCTCTCCAGCCCCAGCCATGGTCTTTTGACCAATACCAGACATGGATTTCCTCTTGTGCCACAGGTCTCAAATCCAGTCCAAAAACAGTTGTATACCCCCATAATCTTTGTGCCACTTTTTCCAGTGTGCAGCACATCTTGCCTTGTGGGTTGATATTGTTGTATTCAGAATTCATTGCTAGTAAAACCATTGATATCTTTTTGCCCTAGCGACCTGCATAGCACCTTCCAGCACTTTGGAAGTTAGCTGGGGGAGAAGTTTGCAGGTTAGACTGGTTTCTCTTGTATTCTGTAAGCAAAGTGTGTGGTGTCTTTAGCAATAGGGTCTTCTATGGTATTATGTTGAACTTACTTTTGTTTTGGCTAGCTCAACTATTCAAGATTCACTACTTATTACATAATGTCTGCATGCATGCATGCAGTGAGCTGAATACTCTATGTTTGCCTAAGTGGTGTCTAGCCTTTTGGCAGGTGACATACATTACTGTCTACAAAGTTGATGCTTAGACTGGGCAATGGAATTACTCCCTCATACACACAAAAATGGGGGAAAATCCTCATGTTTTAATTTTATGATTGTACAATGGGCTGCATTCATATGTCTTCCGTGGATTGGACA